GGGAAGGGCGGGGGGCGACGCGGCGCTGGCAAAGGGAGGGAGCGCTTCGGGGCTTCAGAATCCTCGCTCCGCTGAGGAAAGGAGGGGCGGAGGTCCTTAATCCGGAGTAAAGGCATTCGCCGGGGGGGGAGGGAGGGAGGAAGTAAGTTTAGACTTCGCTTTTCCAAGAGAAATCTGTGCCACTTTCACAATCGCACGTAATGGCCTTCAGAATTTCAGCCAGTTTTAAAAAAAGACAAGCTGTCTGCATAGCTTCACCGGTCAGCCCGACAATGTAGACCAGACCAAAAAACAGGATCTGGAGAAGTCTACAACTACTTTTCGTAAGAGGGACTATTGTAACAGGATTTGGCAAATCCCAAAGCTTGGCTTTGCTTTGGCAACTGATCTGGCTTATCTCCCTCAGTGCCATCTTTTTTAGGACTCGCTACCGCTGTTCCTAGTCACCCGAGTTTTCTGCCGTTCACAAGCGACTGAAGCACACAACTAGGCTAAAATGTGCAAATTGAGGCCACCTGGTTCTCTCCAGATGTTTTGGCCTTCAACTACCATTATTCCCAGTTGACTGCAGTCAGAGGTAAGGAATTCTGAGCCGAAAACACCAGATTTATTTAATTTACTCCTCTAATTTGTATAGCCACCCCTCTCACCAAACAAGTGCCTCTGGGCTGCATGCAACAAGCTAAAACAACTAATACCTAAAACCATTATCATTATTAAAAAACAGTAAAAACTATAAAAAACAAAGTGAAAACAAAGAATAGTAGATGAAGGAATGTTAATAGTAACAGAGCCACCTCGCTAGTTCACCCATCGCTTGGGGCCCCCAGGCCTGCTGGCATAACCAAATCTTGAGGGACCTCCAGAAGCTCAACAGTGATGGGGCCAACCTCACCTCAAGGGGGAGAAGATTCCACAACACGGGCACCACAGCAGAAAAGGCCCACCACCTGGGGCCTGCCACATAATTGCTTGCACTGCTTCATTTTGCACCAGCTGAAGTTTCTGGATACTCTTCAAGGGCAGCCCCATGTAGAGCGCATTGCAGTTGTCCAACCTGGAGGTGACCAGAGCATGAGTGACTGAGTAGGGCCCCCTTGATCTAGGAATGGGCACAACTGGCGCACAATATGAAGTTGCACAAAGGCCCTCCCAGCCACAACTGCCACCTGCTCATCAAGCAGGAATTGTGAGTCCAGGACGACCCCCAGATTGCACACGGGGTCTGTTTGGGGCAGTGCAACCCTAGCCAGTACCCAAGATGATATAGTCCTAGAAGCAGAGGGCCTCAAAACCCAACGCCACTCAGTCTTGCCAGGGTTGAGTTGAAGCCTGTTGTTTCCCATCCAGACCCTCACAGCCTCGAGACACCAGGGTAAAGCATTCACAGCGTCACTTCATTCGTTGGGGTGGAGAGGTACAACTGGGTATCATCAAAATACTGATGATACCTCACCCCATGGCGACAGATGAGCTCACCCAGTCCCTGCAACAGTTTTGCTAAAAGGGTCCATATTCATCTGGTATTACAAAAAGGGTGGTGCAACCAGGTGATCTGGGACTGACAGACTTTGAGGCATCCCACATTACATTTTAGGTTTGTGTTCCATAACCTGAGAGTCTGCAGCAGTTGTGGGATGCTGGGTCCACCAGATAGTCAGGGATAATCAGAGATACAGGCCAAGACATCAGGAAGGGCATAAAAAACTATTTTAGAATGCTGTAAAGATTCAGTTCTTCCCGAGATGCTATTTAGCCTCCCCACGCAGAGGCCTTGGCCATGCTGGATGGAAATTCTGGGAGTTGTAGTGCCAGCATGTAGTGCCAACAAGACCAGGCTGATCTTCTCTAAGCTCAGAAGCCAGACAAGGGCCAGAGCTGGTCAATATTTCGATGGGAGATCACTAGGGAATCCCAAGATTATAGAGCCTGACCAGCTACAGCAGTGTTTCTCAACCTCAA